AAGAAAGTTGATTTTGTTTACTGCTGCTGCCCCTAGCAATCAAAAGACTGCCTGGCCTCTGGCAGTTACTCAATAAATACTTGCTGAATGAATACATAAATACTTGTTATCCACTACCATTTTATTGGCCCAGGTAGAAAGACAGAGGAAAGAGTAGATACATAGATATAAAGTGATGGAGGCATTGCATACATGTGTTCAGCACAGTGCTGGCACACAGTACACGCTCCAAAGTAGTTAGCTCATATCATCTCACTTAACCCTCATCACAGCCAACTCAATGTCCTTTGTAAATGTCATCTTATCTTCCTCTATTTAGAAGGCTCCAGCATTAGTCTTTCATTCTTTTGTCTTTCCTATTTGCCCTGGTTTTTCTCAGCTGTTCTGGTGGCTCCCTCTTAATCTCTGTCCTCTCCCCTAAATTCCGCACTGCCCGTTGCAATGAATGTTTGACATTCATTGGAAACAAACTTTGGATTCCTCTTATCACAAGCTCCCTGATCTCAGAAAAGAGCAAATCCCTTCTTCTAGTTGTTCAGGCACCATCCCTTGGAGTTATCTTGACTTCTCTCTTTCTTTTTCATTCTGATCTCTCAGCACATCCTATTATCTCTACTTTTAAAATGTGCTTAGACCCTCACCGACTGTCCCAACCTCCACTCCTGTTACCCTGGCTTTAGCCACCGTCATGTCTCACCTTAGTTACCGAAATTGCCTCTTCCCTGCTTCCACTCTTGTCCTCCAAGATCCACTCTAAATAGTGGCCAGAGTAATGCCACTAAAATATATGAGTCTATTTATAGAGGTAATGTCTCTCGATTACTCAAAACTCTCCAAAGTTCCCTAAGTCACTCAGAGGAAAGCCAGATTCTTCACAACACAAGACGTTCGCTGATACCATATATAATTCTTCCCCCTTGTCCTCTTGCTTCCTCGTATTCACACTGGCTCACTGCTCCCTTTGCACTGTTGTTTCCTGGGACAATCTTTTCTTAGTTACAGACATGGCTCACTCCTTCATTTCCTTCAGGTCTTCGCTCAGTCAGCATTGTAAGCCATCTGTGACCACTCTCTCAACAATGGAACCACTTTTCTTGACCTGTCTTATTCCTATTGTTTCCCTGTTTTATTTTTCTCTTTATCGCTTATCACAATCTGATATATAGTACCTTTTATTTTTGATTGTGTTCATTGTCTTGTCTCCCTCATTAGAATGTAAGTTCCTTGTGGGCAGTTTCCCTTTTATTTTTTCTTTGCTCTACCCTTAGCATTTATCTAGAATAGTGTCTCACATATAATAGCACTGAGTAAATATTTCTTGAATGAGTGAATGAATAAAATATTAGCTGTTATTTTTTATAGTCCCAAATATAATGTCAGGATATAAAAGAATAGAAGACAAGAAAATTTATACCCATATGATGGCAAGTTTATTGTACATGATACAGTGGATTAGTTTCTAAAAAAAAATGTGTCAAATTGAATTGTTTCTAACTCAAATTATTTAAAGTATGCTGGCAAGATTTCTATTTCAAATAATCTGTGATTGATCCTCTGTACAAAACAAAGGACTTTCAAAAATAATTTGAATACATTTTCCCTAATATAGCCCTTAGAGGTTAGATATTTTGTCAAGTTTTCATACTTTAAAATGTGCTTATCTATAATGTATAAAGCAGAAAACAGGTAGCCTTTGAATTTTACACTAGCCCGTTTTAATTCTAAAATAAATTAGCAAGAAACCTGATGGAAACTCTGAAAGTTGTTGGTGAGACACTTGAGCTACTCTACGTAGTTCTAGCCTCCCCAACATTCCCTCAGCCACACCCACATAAACCAGTGAAAACCAAAAAAACAACCTGACATATTTTCAAAAGTCCCCCTAGGGGGCAGTATTGTCCCCGTTGAGACCCGCTGTTCCATAGATACGGTGCAACTGTGAAATGTGTCCTTCCCTCTCTTCTGTTTTTGACCTCAGCTCCTCTGATGGTAGTACAGGATGGAGGAAGAGCTAAAAGGCAAATATTTTCTGCTTAATGGTGGTATGTTTCTTCCCTGGGTTAGGGGTAACTGCTACCTTGGCTTGTTGGTCTATAAGTCTTCAGTCCTCCCCTTATATTCTGGAGAAGGTTGGCGTGGGGATGCTTGGTAATAGAACCGGTAAACTGATGTAGCCCCACTTAGGACTTCACGGAGAGGTGATCAATCCTGAAAGCTTAGAATTTGAGTGGCCCAGGTAACAGGGTAGGAATGGGTGGTGGGGTGAGAGGGTAAATCAATTCTTAGGGTTTTCTGTTTGTTTGTTTCTATTTAATTCTGGAGTATGAAAAAGCAAATCTATTCATTTACACTAGTTTGAAGAAGGGTAACTGAGAAAAGTGTGCTGGAATGGCGAACAGCCCAGGGCAGAAAACCAACACCTGTGTTAAAACCCCAGCTTCATAGACACCCATTGTGTGATTTGGGGCATTTCAATTCTCCAGACCGCTTTTACTTCATCTGCGAAATGGCATAGAGAGTAAATTAGATGGTGTTTGAATCCCTTTAAACCCTTGATCTCAATACAGCTCTGAGCATTTGGGCTCTTCATGCAGACAATATACTCTTCCCTTCTCTGTGTGTCTGGGTGCCCTTGAAGGAGGTGACAGTTTTGATCCTCACTCTTTAAATTTTTTCATCCAAGACCTGTGGAATCAAATTTGGCAAGCATTCTTGAATCTTCTAATATTCACCTTCATGAAATGAAGTATGTTTTACTTAAAATATTCTTAAACATGGTGAATCGCAGCATGATAAAGTTAAGAAATCATTTGATAATAAAGTGGTGTTAGATACCTTGCTCTATTTCTCTAAGTCTAGGTGAATATTTGTGACATAAGTTGCACGTGACTTAACCCTTCATAATTCTCTCCTGTATACTGAACAATATACAGAGTAATAGGCAGTAATAAGAACATAAAAGTTATGAAAGATACAGACACTCTCATAAAGGTCCTTATAATCCACAGTGTCTTAGATTCTTAAAAGCAGAGCCAAGACAAGGACCCTTGTTCAAGTGATTCACTGAGGGTGAGCTCTCAGGAGAAACAGCTGAAGGAAGGAGGAAAGCAGGATAAAACAGGAGAAGTTAAGCAAACATGGTTTCAGAAGCTTTGCTTTATCCTTGAACCCATGGGGAGCTCTGGAAAGTTCTCAGTTATTTCAAGGTTTTTCAGCCCAGAGGTAAGTGATCTGGGCTATTAGAACCCCACTTCAACCAGCCATTTGCTTCAGGCCATCTACAGGGGTCAGCAAGGGACATACTTCCCAGATATCACCAGTTGAAGTGGTTCCCATCAGCCAAGGACAAACCTATGCAGAAGCTTTGCCCTTGGGATCAATAACTGCAGTTGCTGGGAGGGTAACAGTTGTTGGGAGGGTGAATAACCCCCATGGAAAGGAGGATTTGGGCAGGGCACCGAGAGTATCTACTACGCATAGTATTAGAGGAGCTAAATCATGTCTACATGATAGCCTTTAAAAGCTCTTATAAAGCTACCTATAAACAAGTGACGTGGAAGACAGCATAGTCTGAATATCTAGGGGTACAGAGTAAGTGGGTAACCCAGCTAATGTGTACTGAGTGCTTGCTCTGTGTTACACATTGTTATGCAATCTTTATTCCTCTCAAGAAATCTGCAATGTAGGTAATATTGCACCTATTTCTCCGTAAACTGAAGCACAGAGAGGTTAAGTAACTTGGTCAGGGTCACACAGCTAGCAAGTGCCAGTAGATGATCATTTCATTGGCAATAATATGGTCCGGCTTCTCTGGAACAGAGAAAATGAAGTTCTAAGCCCCACCTCAAGTCAAAACCTCTTAGGGTAGGCTCATATTTTAACAAGCTCCCAAAGGGATTCTTATACACAATTGAAGTGTCAGAGCCATTGCCAAGGGAACAAGCTTCCCAAGATGGAGAAAAGTTGTGCAAAGGACAATGTCAACAGGTAAAAATGATCAGTGACATAGACGTGCTTGTGAATTTTTCTAGTCTGAAGGGAGTGAGAATAAAATTGATAATGGGCTCTTGAATACCAAACGATAACTACACAGGAACAAATAAACTTTTTTGTTGTCACATTCTTTCTTAAAATAAGAACACAATAGCAAAAATAAAAAGTATAGGAAACCTTGGCCTGGCGCACACATGGGGCGTTCTTTTCTACCTCTGTGCTGGCCTGTATAGGCATTTACCCCTAAAAATATGCTAAACCACCTCTTTCCCAGGGAAGAGCAGGATATTATAAAATTGGAAAAGGAAATAATATTTCCTCAAAGGTTTTGGAAACGAAAACACCATCTAAAATACTAGGAAATAAGTTAATTGCTGATGTACGATTAGCAGTGTATTTTTATGTCGATGTCTGATAAGTTGTTCTCTGAAGTAGCATGTGACCCAAATATGACTACGTTCATAAAATATGTCATTAGAAAAACTGGATCAGAGAAACAAAAGAGAAGAAGTGATTATAAGCATGATGCCACTTGGCTATAATGAAATATTTCCCAAGCAATTTTATACGGGCACCACCAGCTACTGTGCCGGTGGATCTTTTCTGGTGCCCACTGATCTAATTAAGGAGAAGAGATTGCTAAGAGTGCGGAGGTCCATGCTTTCATGATCAGACTCACTCTGTCCCCTTTAACCTGTTACATTTGCTCATCATTGCTGTGCAATTCACTGTGACAGTTCCATACAAATGCCAGGTGTTGTCTGGAGAAGCACTTTGAAGTTACATGGGTTATTTCTGATGAACAAAGGCGTTTGTTTGCTATATTTCCATTCTATTGGTGCGTATTTCAACCCATGAGTTACCAAGAACGTATAACGACACCTTTTGTATGTTTCTCTGTCAATGCCAGATTAAATACTCTAGTGATTTAGGGGATTACTGGGCAGTCCTCAAAATGACCTTACACTAACTTAAATGGCATAATTCATGTGGTGGAGGGCTTTGGAGTTGGAGATAAGGGTTGGAAATCCAAAGTTTTACACTGAGCAAAAATTGGGGGAAAGGAGGAGTTTTAAGGTCTCTAAAATTACCTACTGACCGAACTGACCTCCCCCCACAAACTGACTAGCAGATGTGCGGAGTCAAGTCCTCGGTTTAATCATATTAGTGAAGATTATAAAGGAGCTTTAAAGCCTCAAGGCTAATGTTCAGTGCTAGAATTGTTCAGAAAGCATTTGTGAGAAGTTGGTTAACACACAAAGAAAGAAACCGTTCACTCAGTAAGTTAAGAGCTGAGGGAAGGGTCTGCTAACCCTGACTTGAAGCAGGTCCGCAATTCCAGTGTATGAACTAACATTCTACTTTCTTTCTTTCTTTCTTTCTTTCTTTCTTTTTTTCCAGCAGGCAAAAGATGCCTGTGATCAATATTGAAGATCTAACAGAAAAGGACAAATTGAAGATGGAAGTTGACCAGCTCAAGAAAGAAGTGACACTGGAAAGAATGCTGGTAAACTGCTGTTTTCTTTTGAATGTTATTTTAAACTAGAGATACTGTAGGACTTGCCAGATTAGAAACCATTGAAGGGGTGTGGAACGTGCTCCCCCAAATATGCCTCTTTGGCATAGGGATCACTTTAGGCTGGTTATTTTTAAGTTCCAAGAGAAGCTCTGGGAACCAAGCAGGAGCTATCTTTCTGTAAGATACATTTACATTTATAAGGAAAATCTCTGTGTGTAAGGGTGTCTCTGTACCAGGGAGCGAAGGATGACTAAATCTCTAGAAACTCTTACCAGTAGAGAAGGCAAAGGCTTTAAATCTGCATAACACCTTACCTTACCCTTGTGTACTGTGCTTTGTCTGGGAATCTCTCATAAATGGCCCTCACCCCCACCTCATCTTTCTTTTGTCTTTAGCTGGAGATGGTATTTAAGGAGGTGCCCTGGGTCGTGTCAGGGAGCTATTCAGTTTTCCTGGGTATGTCCTGGCTAAACACCATGTATACAGAGGGTTTACATGTTATTCAACTTCTGTTTGTTTTTCTCCTGTTAATCTGCTTTTTCATTACAGAGGGTTCTCAGCCAAGAACCTAGAAAGGCAGAGGGAAGTTATTTATTGTGCCCCATATCATTCACTGGAGAGGCTCAATGTAGTTAAAAATAAAATTTTGGGGTAAAAATTCACCAGAGATTAAGAAAATGAATAATCACAATTATCTCTTGATTTAGACTCTAAACCAAAGGTTTGGGAAACTATTTCCCATGGGACAAATCCAGCCTTTAGCCTGTTTTTTTGGTATGACCACTAAACTGGAAATGTTTTCACATTTTTAGGGTTGTTTAAAAGGAAAGAAAGAAAAAATTGAAGTCAATGAGACAGAGACCATATTTTAGCTAAGCAATAAAATGAAGCAATGCATATAGGCATTTTGTTTTCCCCTTTCTAAATTGATAAGCTTTATTTTATTTAATCAATTCTTAGATATTGTTTAAATACTTTTATCCAAGACCTCACCCCCTCCAGCACTGTCATGGCCAGTAATGAGTAAGTACATTCTATCTCTTCTTTGCAAATAAAAATGAGTTCAAGTACAAGAACTCACTGGTTGCTTTCAAAAACATCTGACAGGTCTTGGAAATGGATTATGAAGAGTTCTTTGACAATAGAAGGGGCAGAGATGGCAAAGGAATAAAAGTTTCCACCAAGCAAACAGTGACTGAAGCTTGGAAAATGTAGATAGGTATTTTAGATTTCTTCATTTTATAAAAGTTAGTAGAAACAAAAACTCCTCCACAAATGGTAAGAGTATATTTTGTTAAAAAATTTATTTTATCAGGCCAAAGCGAAAAAAGAAGTTTGTGTTATCTTCATACTTTGCTCAGAACTTGTACTCCCAATAAAAACAGGAATTTTGGCTTATTTTATGTTTATAATTATCTCAAACTTCCCTGTTGCCCTTTCCACATAAACAAAACATGTTTTGCTGTAAAGATAAAATTCAATCTATAAACAGCACAAAAACTTGGAACACATATTCAAAAAGTTCAAGTCTTTAGAATTGGGGGATAATAAAATATAATTTTCAGTAAAGGAGAGTTATTTTTTTTCTTTTTTACTTGAAACATCCAAAAGCTGTTTTATTATTTATATACTCAGGATTCTTGTTTTGTAGGCAATTTGGTTGCCTTCATATTTATTATTCACTTGTGGCCAGTTTACCCAGGAATTTTTACTTTGGAAGTCAAACTAATTGAATCTCAGACTGCCAAAACCACACACACACACACACACACACACACACACACACACACACACACACACCTTCCAGGTCCTGAAACCACAGCTCTGACGCCAGATGGCACAGTGCCATTACAATATGGTTAAGTGGATAGACTCTAGAACCCTCTCTCTGGTTCAGACTCTGATTCTACAGCTTTCTCCCTGTGTAACACTCATCTAAGTTATCTAACTTGCCTGTGCCTCTGTTTCTTCTTCTGTAAAATGGGCATAGTAAGAACATCTAAAGCAGACGGCAATTGGGAGGGATACGTGGAGTGATATATACAAAGCTCTGAGAACAACGCCTAGCACAGAGCAAGTGCTTTCTACCATTATTTTTTAAATGATTGTTGATAGCTATGAACCAGACTGGCCCATAATATGCCTCAACCTATTTTGCTGCCAAGGCAGTAGTATTATCAGAGTAAGACAACTCTTTGTATCCAGTTTCTAAAGTTGACAGATAGATTTGCCATAACCGTAAGTCAATGGAATAGGCAAAGACTAAAGATATTCTTTGGAATAATAGCTAAAAAGAGCTACCGTTTGACTGAGCATCTTTGTATGCCAGGCACGTACTGCGACCAGTGTTGCTCTTGCTAGTTCATAGATGAAGTAACTAAATTTTAGATGAACAATCTTAACTAAGATACTTAGCTGGTCAATGGGCAGGGCCGAAATGCAAACCTGGAGTGTCCTGAATCCAGCATCGAAGCTTTCCACCACGCCATGTCATCTTGAATTAAACTATACATACATGTACTTAAAATAAGCATCGCTGAAATAATTTTCAACACATACACTCACATAGGACTTTAGGTAACTTATTGCTTCTTATATCCTGTGGACCTAGCCAGACCCCGTCAAAACCAACCCCTCACTGACTCCTGAATTAGGACAGCAATTTAAGCCTCTGTTCCTGACATGTGTTTGGAGCCAAAGGAGCTGGTGTTGGGAGGAGGGGGAGAAAAGTTAATCTAAATCCCAAATTTTGAATTTTAAGGAAGAAGAAACATGAATCTAAAGGACAGCTTATTTCAAAACTGTATTAACCCCTAGAATCATCGTACGAAGGAGCCACTTGACCAATGCCTGGCCCCAGTTAGAAATAATTCGTCCTAAGATGTAAATAGTGATTTTTCAGAGTTGTAATCTTAAGTCTTATGACTAATGTTGCTTGGAATTGGCATATAAAAAGGGCCAATTGGCATGTAAATAAAGTTTTATTTACAAAAAATAAAATGATAAATTGGTTGGGTAACTTATGGAATGGCCACTGAATGAACTGCCAAAAATGAAGTTGCTCTGTGTTAATCTCATTAATGCTATATTAAGTGAAACAAAGCAAACTAAAAGCTTAAAAAAATGAATAATTTGATCCCATGTGTGTTTATGAATGTGTACACACACACACACACACACACACACACACACTTATATTTACACATGTATAGGACATTGCCCCTAAAAGGTGTGTTAAATGGTATGCTAACAGGCTCTAGCTGAGTCCATTAAAGTGCTAAAGCTTAATTTTTCAACAAGTCATTACTACAATGGTGCAGATGAGTGTGGCACAAGCTCACAAACAAAACCAATGATTCAGTTCAGCAAATATTCATTTACTGAATACCAACTAAATGCAGGCTCTGTTCTAGATGCCTGGGATACATGTGAACAAATACGCCCAAGGCCCCTGGCCCTTCGGTACTCACCTTCTAGTGCCCTGCCGTGATCAATCATTGCAGATAAGTTTAAAATAAAACGACATGTGCGTACTTCTGAGATTCCAGGAGTGGCAATAAGCCTGGAATTCAGCATTTATTCATTCCCTTCCACCTTTACAGGTCACATTTTTGGAACGAGGGAAAAGATTTAATTAATGTTCCCTCTGGTGACATTCTTGACCTGCGTTGCCAGCTGTGTTCTAATCTCCGGGACCTGTCTCCTTTTAGGAAGCTGGAGGCAGCATCTGCTGGGAACCCTTCGCTGGGGTGTGGCCAGCTGTTTCTCCTTTGCCTGGAGCTATCCAGGACAGAGGAGGGCGCAGCTATTTCTTCTTCTCTCCTAGAAAGTACATGCACATTGGGCAGGAAGCAGGATCACATGAAAAACACAGAACACAAAAATGCTAATAAATACGTTCTTGGATTCTGCAGTTTCTATAATAAACCAAATGCATCATCTCTTTCTCCTTTCCTTCAAGGTATCCAAGTGTTGTGAAGAAGTGAGGGATTATGTTGAAGAAAGATCTGGTGAGGACCCACTAGTAAAGGGTATCCCAGAGGACAAAAACCCCTTCAAGGAGCTCAAAGGAGGCTGTGTGATTTCATAAAATGGTAAATTAAATAAATAAACAATACATTTTAAAAACCCTTGGAATATCTTGAGCTTTAGTGACAATATTAATTTCCGATCATATATAATAACATTAAGCATGCATATGAATTTTTAAATTTATAAATGTAAACTTTTAATAAAAATTGGGCTGTGATCATGCATGCCTGTTTCTGTTCAGGTATTTAGCACAGGGGTTAACACACAACTGACAATAAATGTCGAGTCACCCCTTTCTTTAACAAGAATTACTATGTTCTGTGAATGAGTCTATATTATTTTAGTTGCCTATAGTTGATGTTTTATATTTGTTCACTTCCCTTTCAACACTCATAGTATTCCACTTGCGAATTCCACGGTTAGACTTATATTTTTCCCAACTTTCCTCTTGCCTACAGAATGAGGAAGCCTATTCTGTTGATTCATGGAAGACCTATCCTGGCAGAATATGTGCTACAAAGGTTTTTGTTGTTGATGTTTTATTTTCTGTTTCTCTTTCTCCCTCAACCCCCAGTCAGCGGTGATGGTTTTAACATAACCTCTTTCTACATTCTTGCCAGTTCTACTCGTCACCAATACAGTGACTTTTTCCCAGAACGCCAACTGGATTATGGGTTCAGTGTATAGTCACAGTGGATTTATCCAGCACCAGAATGAAAGTTATGAGGATCCAAAGAGTTCTGGCTCTGGCACTTGACTACCTGATTGGAAAAAGTACTTCATCTTTCTAAATCTGTTTCTTTTGCTGTAGGATAAGGATAATAAAAGTTCTATCCCCTTTTTCAGGGGTTTAAATATTATACTAGGGAGACTATAGCACTTGGCATATTGCCTGACACATAGTAAGACCCAGTACGTGTTAATTAGTATTACTGCTGGAAAGGGAACTAGACAAACTAGGCAAACTACCCAGAATCCTTTAATAAGATACATGCTATTCCATCCCCATGATGACTCACCAGTTCAGTCCTTTTTTCTGTAACAGTGCAAAGTCAAGATACAAGAATAGCTATCATTTGCATCATCTTTCTAATCCCTTTCCTCTTGGCATCTTATTGAGTTTGCATAAGCCAAATTTTACTACCTTTGTGCTAATGACTAAGAGATAATCTTGTGTCTGCTTCTGTAACAAAAGACAAGTGTTAATGACCCCAGGAGGAAACTGTTTTTGTTGTTAGTGTTTCCTTGTTGCTCTCCCACATTTACAGTGATATTTTTAGATGCATTAGTGATCAGAAATGCTAATTCATTGTAATCCTCTTAACAACAAGATAAGAATTATCTATTATTTGGTCTGGAAGGGAATCTAAAGGGCTCCCCATGTTTGGCTGTGCACTATGTCCTCCACTCTGGCCACAGCAAATGCCCCACAAAGATCTATTGAGTCCTGCCTAACCCCTTCATTTTGGAATGGAGAAAAACCAAGGCTCAGAGAAGTGAATTGGCAAATTTCTCAGGTCCAGACTCTGGGTCTCTGGCTGAATGGTTAGCCACACACTCTACCACATATCAAACATGTTTTGGGTATTAAGGCATTCCAGGATACAATACTACAGTCTCTTAGTTCTTTTTCCTCAGGAGAAGCTCTTTTCCCCTTGTTTAAAATTACAAAATCCCTCTCCCACCACCTCCAGCACTTCTATCTCCCTTTATTTTCCTTCAGAGCACCTTTCACCATGTAGCATACTATAGATTTTATTTCTTTGTTTGTTTAATTGTGGTCTGTCTCTAGGGGTTTTCCATGGGCAAATTAGTGTTTATTAAAATGTTCTATATATCTTTTTTTCTGATGAAAGAAAGTACAGAGTCTTGGCTATGGAATTTAGGTAACATGTACAGTCCAAACCAGCATCTCTAGCTTTCATCTAACAACTGGAAATAGACTTTGGAGTCAGTCAATTCTAAATTAAAATCTTATCTCATCCACTTTTTTTTTAAAGATTTTATTGGGGAATTGGGGGAGGGGAACAGTGTTGGGGAATCTGGGGAAGGGGAACAGACAAGTTGCTGTCCTTTTGTTCTTCAGTCTAGTTGTGGAGGATGTCGCTTCACTGGCCCATGTTGGTATTATCATTGCACCCTTCCCAGATGAGGCAGATGGGTCACCGGTCTCTGGATGGCCTCTCACAGTGGCTCTTGGAAGCTCACACCGGCTGCTGGCTGCTCATACCAGCTGCCGGCCACACACGGTAGCTTAGGGCAGCCCACTGCAGCAGGGGCTATAGCCTACAGTGTTGCCGGCAACTCATGGCAGCCCAGCTCCAGGTTGAGCTGTTGTTGTTCACCATCTTAGCTGTAGAGGGCGCAGTATCACTGGCCCTCATGTGGGATCCAAACCGGGGCCCTGCTGCTCAGAGTTGGCGTCCCAAGCCAGCTCTTAACCAACGTGCCACTCAGCCGGCCCCTCATCCACTTTCTAGTTGAGGACTTTATAAGTAACTTCAGCTCTTTGAACCTCAGGGTTTTTTGGGGGTTTTTATGTATAAATGGGGGATTAGAATGAATGATTATATGAATATTTAAAATCATTTAGATCAAAGATGAGACTATAGAAGAAAACCTAATAAATGTACTTTACTATAATAAACCCTGTAGACTTCCTATAGTCAAAAACTTAAATATTAATATTAAATTATCCCTGACATGGCACTTCATCTTCCCACCTTCAGGAGTATAGTCACACTGATCTGTCCGCCTGAAATGTCCCTCCACTCCATCTCATTTCAGCCTCTTGAAATCCTACTTCTCTTCTTAGGCTCACTAAAAACTATCTCCTCTGTTCCTCACTCCATCCCAAGAGTATTTTATATATCCCTTAAGTCATTTAACATTACTTTGCTTTCTCTTATTATAATTAGTATGGTTGTCTTAATGGTATATTGTAAATTTCCCAAGTCCGAGTCCTATTCATCTTTGAAACTACCATACCAACTAATAAATCGTCTCTACAATTTAATTGACTTAATAAATGTTTACTTCAATTAAAAGCAGGCACTTTTTATGTTGGGTAATTCAGAATTCTTATTGGCTTATTAACTGAACAGTAGGGTAAAAGTCCCATTGCTTACAAATATAGATTGTCAGCGGAATTTTGAGTAAGATAAAAATCACAGGAAGGAAGTATAAAGAAAGATGATCCCGGAAGAAGGAAATGAAATCATGACTGCCCCACAGCCTTCGCAGCTACAAGCGGCAGTGAGTAACTCGGCTTTATTATTTGTTTCCAGAAGTTATTCCAATGCCATGGGTTACTAGGTTAAATAAAATGAAGTAAAACTGTGGGGAAACAAAACATACTCCAGGCACAGTCTTAGCATTTCGCCCTTCAACAAAACTTCTTGATCTCATTAGTAAGAATGGGTAAAGTGTATATATATGTGGACTTACTATATCATTTGAGATATTTGCACTTTGAGGGTGTTTTGTATACAGAGGTGAATTTAAGCTTTAGAAAGGAAAAAGAAAAAACACAAAACCTCACTGTTGTTTTAACTTGGGTTGACTTGATTGCAGCCACATTTTAAAACAAGACTAATATTAAATGTACTAAATTCCTAAAAGAATGTATTAACATGAGAAAAACAATAAGCTGAGTAATGAGGATGGCCAATTATATGTGAGGGAAATTAAAAGTCTTGCATGAACAAAATTGATCAAATAAATCATTTTGACAAGTGAATTATTAGTTGTTTAGGTAACCAGAGCATCAGACACAGGTCATCCTGTGACTTCACATTATCTCCATCTAGAAAAGGAATCTTACACACATAGTTATGTGAAATGGATGAGTTCATGAAAATTTCCGTGTGATTGTTATAATAAATTGAACCAAATATGAAGTGGACCAAGAGTGTGTGAAATGTCTGTTAAAGATTTTTTTTAAAGAAACCATCATTTTAATGACCTAAACAGCCATTTACTTTATAAATTTTAGAGGAGCGGAATTTGGGTGGTAACCTAGTTTATTTACACCTATAAAGCAGAGGCAAAAATCACAAGATAAAATAAGACCAAAACCCTGGTCTTTTTAGAGTTCAAGTTAGTACTAAATCAATTCCAATATAACTGCCCTTAACATTTTCTTTAAAAATTTATTTTATATGGAGTTTTAACAACATACTTAATACATGAGAAAAATAGTCAAATAATTGTTTTTCCTTATTTTGCATGTCAAGGTAAATATTTCATGGTCTTTGCTCTTTTATACTTTAAAAGTGAAAATAACCACATGGTTAATTTTATTCTTATGCAGATTTCCTCTTTTTTAACTTTTTTTTAATGTAACCAATGATTTTAAACATTTTTTCAATTTTAGTTGACATACAATATTGTACAACATAGTGATTAGACATTTATATAACATTTATATAACTTACGAAATGATCGCCCCTGTGTGATCAAGGGATTTCAGCATTTCCCAATTCATTTTAGTTTAGCCAATTTATTTTGTATAATATCAGCATGTGAATTATTTGGTAAGAAAAAAACCTTTAAAAAAGTAGACTAATATGTATTTCATCCCTAAGTCTTATAATACTGTGGAAGAAGTTAGAATCACTATAGATTTATAAATATTTTTTACTGCACGCAGCTAGGTGATTTCACAGGAAAAAAATTTTCAAACCAAAGTAACTCTATTTTTATGATTTGGAACATACATTAATTTACTTAACCAATTTATTTAATTTGGATGCTGAACTTATGTAATTTAGGCCACATTAAGTACTTTCACTAACATATTTAACCTATTTTTAACCAATCTTTTAAATGTAAGCAATGGGGAATCCAAACAAATGCATGGGTTCTAGAGACAGATGTGAGTTATTGTCTTGGTTCACTGCTTCCTAACAGGGAAAAAGTCCTGCAGCTGATCTAGCTCTGAGTCTGGGAGATCTGGAATGTGTGGTATTTCTAATACAGAAACAGAAAGTCCTATACATTTCTCTTTGTGCAAGTGATTGATCAGATGTAGAAACATAAATACAATAAGAAACAAAACATACCTTAGCGAATTCACCCCTCCCCTGACCCATCACATATTTTACAAATTAGAAAACCAAAGTCCAGGAAAAAAATAAGTGCCTTTTCCAGTGATGGCCAGTGTCAGAGCGGGGACTAGAACCCAGAAGTACTTATCAAGTAGCTCACTGGGTTTTTTTTGACAAACAAAACCTCTGCTTACAAAACAGGGAGTGGCCATGGGCGTCTAAGGCCTAGTGCCTCGAAATATTCAGTCAATGACTCCTCTTTTATTTGAATGTGACTCTATAGGCAGTAGGTAATCCCCAGGGAGAAAGAGAAATATCTCACTGCTGCTTGGGAAGGTTTTTTACATTTGTGCTTTGTTTTTCTTCTAGCCTTTTAAGCACCATTAACAGGGTTTTGGTTTATAGTCAAAGGGAAAGTTTATATTGCACATAAACATTTTTCACATCAGACACTTTTCCTGGTTTTTACAAAGTGGCAGTTAGATGAATATTGCTTTCCAGAAAGTGGAGAAACCAATACTACGGGAATTCAATGCCTTCAGCCAGGAAGGTGCTCCACCCAGGAATTCAAAATCCTTGGTGTCAAGGGTCACCCAAAACTTGGCAGATGGCGAGTGGAGAAAATCTTCCTGGTGGGAACGTTAGGATTCCTGCTTCTGTCTTCTCTAGAATCATCTGCTTATCTGCCAATCATTACAAAACACCCCTGTGAAGAAAGAATACAGGCTTTGCTGTTGGCGATGCAGAAGATTGTTAAATGTCAGAAAATGGCCCTGCACGTTAAATAACATTCATCTTCCCATCCCCCTTTTATCCCAAAATGTTAAGTCCTTCCGAGGCGTTTAACACACTGGATGGCTAGGCATCAACAGATGTGGTGGCTGTTTCTGAGATCACAGCTCAGTTTCATTTTCCTCTTGGGACTTTTCTTAAGCGTCCACAGTTCCCACAATAAACATGTATGTAACTGGGGGAAAGTTACGTGCTGTATATTTTTGAAACTCTTGGAGAGGTGAAGGGCCGTTATTTCCTGCCGTGTAGTGTCCTCCTTTTCTTGCTTCACAAACAAAACCCGGATATGACTTGGGAACGAAAAAAAAAAAAAAAGGAACAAAAAGTAAAGCTTTTGTTGTTTCTCCAGAAAAGTGGGCTAGCTCAACCCCAGCCCTGGGCTGGGGCCCCGCGGGCGTGGCTGGGACGGGAGCCAGGTCTCAGGCCAGCATCCCCGCGGGAGATCCCGCAGGGCGAAGCTTTTCAAGGTCCTTGGGCCGCCTTTCACACTGAACCCTCTCCCCGGGTTCCCTAGGACAGGCCTCCTGGGGTTGTGGGGACCTGAGAGAGAGACCAGGGCTTTTAAGATCCTGGGTCACTGGGCAGGGCTGGCGTGAGGGGACCGCCCCGAGGCAGCTGAGCCCTCTGGGCTCTGGGGAGCACCGCGCGGGGAGGCGGTTCCATCCTGAGCCGGCGGGCGCGGTGCGCAGGCAGCGCAGTTATTTTGGGACGCGCCCTGGTTTGCAAGCGCTTTCAGCCGGTCCGCTTCCAGAGCTGTCCCCCGGCCCAGTTCTGGGGCGAAGATGCCGGCCCTTCACATCGAAGATTTGCCAGAAAAGGAAAAACTGAAAATGGAAGTTGAGCAACTTCGCAAAGAAGTGAAGTTGCAGAGACAACAGGTAAGTTGCCTGTCTCAGAATATTTCCTTCTCTGAAATGAACCAGGGTCAGCTTTTCCTGGTGAAATAAACAGTGTTCTTGTTTTTGCTTTGTTTTTGCAGCTTCTCTTGAAATAGGGCTTCTTCTTGAAGTGGTGCCTGGGAACTGCCAGTTGATGTGGGGGGGAAGTCACAGGAGAAAGCAGGGACCCGATGGGTAATTTAAAGCCAAATGTCCGAACATCTGAGGAACCTAGAGTGGGGGAAACAGACAAGAAATTTTGCCCACTGTTAGACATTTGGTTTTAAAAACCTCAAGCTGTAGGAAAACGACAGATGGTTACTTTTTTCCTTGATCTGTT